CCATATGTGACTCTGGGACTTTGAGAATGCTCTCCTCTCTCTGGCTCATTCTCCTCTGCCCACCCTGAAGTGGGCTGGATGTTCCTGGGTATGTTTCTACAAGTCCCTAAAATTATTACATCACAGTATTTTTAAACTTGGCTCTTATGTCTTATTTTTAGAACCCTATTAACTCCATGAGAGCCAGGGTGGATCCTATAGTGTTGAACAGTGTTCCCCACACTCAGCTCAGTGTCTGGTAGACACAGCAAAGACCTTATGAAGGAAAAAGACGATTTCCTTCCTAGGTCTCAGATAAAACGTCTGAAGCAGTTTTCAAAATATCCCATTTCTAGGGCGCCTCTCCAGATTCTCTGACAAACATTAATATCTGAGCTCAAACAATGCTTTCCCTTAGCACACGAATATATGGGGTTTAAAATCCCTTATAAACATTAGGTTTGTAGTTTCTTAAAACAATATATATTTTTTTATGCATAGAAGCCTTAAAAAGATTTCTCTCATGAATTCCCTGATGTCCACAAAAGGAGAGATTAAAAACTTCAGTAGAAACCACCATGATGGATTTTCCCTTCTATAGAGATCTCGTTTGTTATATTGACCAATTCTTCATTTTCATCTGAGGAGGTTTACTTAAATTATTTGGAGCTATAGTGCCTAAAGAAGCACATAGAAACAGAAGTCAAGGCAGAAGTAGCAGGTGATCATTGACACAATGGACATACATACTAACCAAATCACAGAGAGCTATAATTTGGCACAAAACAATTGAGAAACTCTTTCTCCAATTACCAGAAATATAAATGATTATAATAATTTTAGAAAATTGATTCTCAAATAAAAACAGGCAAAAAGAAAATCTTGGATTTGTCAAATAAGTGAGTTTTAAAAACTCATTAAGTTATCACAATTTTCTCATTTTTCTGGGTTCTGTCATTTACATAAACAAATGTTTAGTTGACTTGATTAAAGTTAAAATTATCAGGTATAGCTAAGTTACTACTCAAACTTTTAATGCTCTGCAATATATATATTTATATATAAATCCTCACACATGTTCATGTAACTTTAAAACTGAGCACACTGCTCTAAGCCTGCTGGTAAGATTTGAAATTCTCTAGCTTAGGCACCAGTATTTGGTCACCATCCAAAGCATTAGACTCATTGTAGGAATGTACCATTTTGCAAAGGAATGCTTTTCTCTGAACTCAAACTTATTTGCTCAATAAAGCAGGAAAATTTCTGCCCCAAATCTAAAATGTGTCTTCATCTACCACAGTGCTTGCTTTCTTCTCTCAATACTTAACTAGCTGAAATGAACCTGTTACAGTTTAGATCTTAAATGTTTCTCAAAGGCCATGTGTCTAAGGCTTGGTTACCAGCCTGCGGCACTGTTGGGAGGTGGTGGCCCCTTTAGAAAAAGGGGCCTTATGGAAGGAAGTTAGATCACTGGGGGCATGGCTTCAAAGGGGATATTGAGACGCTGACCCCTTCCCCTCCCTCCTTCTCCATCTTTCTTTTCCCAGCTGCCATGAGATGAACAGCTTTGCTCCCCCATGAACCCCCATCATGATGCTCTGCCTCACTACAGGCCAAAGGCAACAAAGCCAAGCAACCAGGAAGTAAAATTCAGAAACTGTCAACCAAAATAAATGTTTCCTCCTTACCAATTTATTATCTCAGGTATTCTTTCACAGAGATGGACAGCTAACCAAAACAGCCTCCTTCATTTTAAGACCAATCACATTTGTGGTCTTTCTCTGGTTGTTGCCTTTCAATTATTCACTCTCTATAAATGTCTTCAGTGGGTCTCCTTCTACCATATCTTTCAATTTTCTTTCCCCATGGGTCATTTTCTACAGGCTAGAAACAAGCTCATGCTTTTCTATCCTTTAACTATTGCTATGATTTCAAAGTCCCTCCAAAACTCATATTGAAATTCATTGCCACTGTGATGATATTGAGACCTGGGTCTTTTAAGAGGTAATTAGGTCAAGAATGAATTAAGGCCATTATCACAGGAATGGCTTTGTTATAGAATTGAGCCTGCACACTCTCTTGCCTCTTACCCTCTCATTATGTGATCTGCTTCTACTACTTGCAGCCCCTTGATTTTGGATTTCCCACCTTCCCAACTAAGAGAAAGAAGTTTCCTTTACTAATCACACATTCTGTGGTATTCTGCTGCAGCAGCTATGCTTCGGTATGCATGTGTATATATTATATTCACTAATTTTTTTCCCAATCTCCTCCTTGTAATTTTATATAAGAATTCTTGATAGTGTTAACTTTAAAATTTAGCTTCTAGAATATTCATTCAGGTAGGATTGTGACTGAGTATGAGAAGCAATTAATATTGCCCAGAAATGGCGTGCCTATAATTCTAATAACTCGGGAGGCTGAGGCAGGAGGAGATATAGCTCAAGGGCAGAGTACCCCTGGTTCAATTCCCAGTACCACCCAAAAAAAAAAAAGAAGGAAGGAAGGAAAAGGAAAATGTATACAATGACGACTGGGGCACACCATTATCTCACTTGAGAGAGAGGATAAGAATACCTCCTTTTGTTTAAAGTGTAGATGCATCTTACTAAGTGAAAGCATGAAGTATAGGAAAGTTGTAGAAAAACTCAAAAATATACAGACTGGAGAGTGCAGGCTAAGAAGCCAAAGGGGTGGACTGTACTGGCAATGGGGTGCTGCCTCTCAGCTTCAAAGCCACCTTGTTTTGCCAGGCTGGGGCTAGAACTCTGCAAACCACAATATTCTACCACCTAGGTTTTTATTAATTTTTTTTTTTAAAAACTACCTATAGGGGTGCCAGTGGAAGAGTAGAGGCTAGTGGAGGAACAAAGAACATGGTCCTTCCTGTTTTGCTTCCCATTATTGAAAAGTATCGCCCAGCAAAGGTTTCCCACCTAGGCAGCAGCAAGTGGTCCCTGTAACCAGTGTTTTTCCACATTCTCAGAACATGCCATAGTATGCCCCCTCAGAGACACCTCCTCCACAGACATCCCACATCACCTCCTTGAGTATATAAGTTCCAGCTCTCAAAGCCCCTCTCATCAAGAGCCTGAGGAATTGATTAGATTAAGGCTCTCCTAGCCCAATCATTAAACCTCTAAACCAAACTGGGCACAGTGGTGCATACCTGTAATCCCAGCAGCTTGGAAAGCTGAGGCAGGAGGATAGTGAGTTTAAAGCCAGCCTCAGTCAAAAAGCAAGGCACTAAGCAACTCAGTGAGTGAGACTCTGTCTCTAAATAAAATACAAAATAGGGCTGGGGATGTGGCTCAGTAACTGAGTGCCCCTGAGTTCAATCCCTGGTACCTAAACACAACAAAACAAAACCTCTATTACAGTACCCATTACTTCTACATTGTCAAGTCCATTGATATAAGTCTGACTTTATTATATCTTTCTGCTATATTTGAGCATTGGTCATTCAACTTCTCTTGAAATTATTACTTTATTAATAATTTTTGGCTAATTAAAACATTTCTGTAGGGTAAATTAGAAGGAAAAATAGAAGTTTTTTATTCATTCAACAAATAATTTTAAGCATTTATGTAAATATTTCCATTGAGTTAATTTCTACAGGTAGAACTACTGCTCAGCATAGTAAGTGCTATGTGTGTACATTACTAAGTGGTATGACCAAGTAATATGTCATATCAACTTCTATACCAGGGACTCTCAAAGTTGAGTTCTAAAGAATCATCTAAAGAGCTTGGTAAAATAAGGATTAGTGAGGCCCCCCTCCAGAATGTGGATTTACCAGTTCTGGGGTAGAGCTACCTAACTTAAATTTTCATAAAGTATTCACATGATGCTGATTTCTGCAAAATGCTACACTGCCCACACATGTTCCTGTTAGTTCTTATTTACAGTTAAAAATTCAACTCAGCCATATCCTTCCTTAAGCAACCTTCCCTCCCTCCTCTCTTTTCTTACCAGTTGGACTAAATGCCTCTCAAGAGTCAAAGGCTTCCAAAGCAGCATGTACCCACCAAGTACGTCTAAGTAACCACTGAAACTGAAACTTTATACATGTCTGTCCCAAGCACTATCCTACAACCACCTCAAGGGCAGAGTCATAACTATTCATCTTTATATTTTTAATTTTCTTTTCAAAAACATTTTATTGTGGTAAAATATATATAACACAAAATTTGCCACTGTAACTACTTTTAGTGTCAAATTCAGCAACATCAAGTACGTTCATGCTGTCTTGCAACTTTCACCACCATATGACTCCAGGACTTTTTTCATCTTCTCAAACTAAAACTCAGAATCCATCAAGCAATGACTCCCTACATCCCCTCCTCCAGGCACCTGATAACCAGAACTCTACTTTGTGTTTCCATGTGTCTTCATATGGATAGGTTTTAGCATATCACCCCATGTTATGTCTCAGTAACTATAGTACTAAAGGAGTCAAATTTCTCTTTAAGTACCAAATGAAAGAATGAATGAGAAAAAAATTAGAGTTAAAATTAAGAGTTCATATTATTATTGGAGCATATAAGAAAACTTGAATATATTACCTGATAGAATTATAAATATATGGCTATTTCAAACCACTTTTTTGGTTCTCTGCCTAACACAAATAAATATCAAGTATTTGTATTTTTAACCAAAAATATCACATATAGAAAAAATTTACCTGAGGAAGAAATACAAAATAAGTTTTTCCCTTTTCCACTTAAATATCTAGGATCCCTGAACTGAGTTCACTTTTCTTTCAGACTATATGCCTATTCATATCTGCAATATCTTGCTACCTTAATCAACAGGAGGAGCAAAAAGGAAATCTAATGGAGAAGAGTGTTGTACATAAAAAGAAACATATATGCAAAGAACCCTCTATAAATGGTTTGCTATTAAAGGAAATGTAGGGATGGGAGAGGTTTCATAATATACTTTTGTAGACAGAAACTCTTGCATTTCAGGAAAAAAAAAAACCTCTGCAGAAATGGTCAAATTAATTATTTGTTACTTACAGAAAATAAAAAAGATGGACCTTAAGGTCATAATTCTTGAAAGAATTCTTTAATAATGGCTCCATGTAACAGATGAATAGATTCAAGTCCCCTTTCATCCAGCACTGTATGTTCCAGTTTGCACCTGAATTAAAAATAAACTGCATTAAGTCTGAAAAACATTCTGAACAACTCAGTGAAAGAGAAGAGCTAAATTGAATTTACTTATGTTCTGAAGCAACTTCCATTGCCTGTTCTGAGAGAAAAAGACTAAGCTCTAACTACTGGTAGGCTTGCCCAAGTGATGTAGTACCTGTGACCCTCAGTTTCCTTCTTTGTTATGTAAGAGAATTAAATTCAATGATTTCTTCTCAAACTTGTTTTTAATAACAAACCACTTAAGTCAGACAAAAGACCTCAAAATTCATTTAATTCAGTTCTTTCTCACTTTTCAGGAGAAAAAAAGAACAACAGATATCAGTGAATAAGCAAATCTAGAGGGATATTTACATGACTGTTTTAGCAAATAAAGGCACAGTGACTCATATCTGAGCTATGATCCGTGTCTTAAATTTTTGTTTATTACAATATCATAGGCCCCAAATACAACTAATAAAAGTATATTTCCACTACACATTGAAACACACACACACCTGATGTGATGAAGATAAACTATGCATAATTTATAAGGCAGGAATAGCAAATGTTGGAAATCATAACTAACTTAAGACAACACTAACACATATTCCCAAACCAGGATTTCTAGCTACTAGGGACCTTGAAACACTGTTGCCCCTATGAAAGCAGCAGCCTGCTTAGAAGAATAAACTGAAATCCTCAAGAATCACTACTTAACTTAGCAATTTTAGTTATAAAAATTTAAACTCACTTAAAAGTAGCTAGTTATCAGCCTTCATATGTAATATAAAATTAAAATAATAATCATAAATAATTTATCATTTCAAGACTCATCACTGGGACCTGACTTCTTCACTTAATTCTTGGCATATTTAATAATTACTAAATTGGCTAAGTTTCCTTACACATTTTAAAAAGTACCTCACTTAAAATGAAGTTAATAGCTATGAATGGAATTGGGGACACAGTGAGTTATTGCTATTACCTTATTTTTAAAATCTGATTTTATTTCATATTTATGTTCCATCATTATTCCTAAACTGATTTCAATATACCAGAGTGTTTCTCCACATCATCATGTCTATCAATGATGATGAACAAGGGTTAATTTTGTATTTCAGGGCATATCTGGCAATTCCTAGAGACTTTTTTTCATTCCAGTTGGGGAGGGAATGCTACTGGCATCTAATGGGTAAAGTCCAGAGCTATTGCTTAGCATCCCACAATGTACAGGTTAGCCCCCCAAAACAAAGAATAAAACCAAAATGTAAAGACGGCTTTTTACTGAAGACTTTTTTTTTTTTTGGCAAGGTGTTTACCCTGACTTTAGAACAGCTGGACAAAATGTACCCAAGATCCTCCAAAGTATAAGACCTTATAAAAGACATCCATGCCCATGCATGCACCAAAATGGCAAGAATATCAATTGGAATATCCTGAGAGGCCCACAAGGAAGTGTTATGCTTTACACTTATATTTTTATAAAGTCTCTTCATAAGGTTAAATCAATTAACTCTAATCTATTTAGTTTTTCCAGAAGACCTGTAAATAGTTTTATTGTTTATATTTTCAGAGGCAGAATTATTAACTAGACTACCTATATTTATTATGCATTATACTTAAAACAACAAACCCCTTAATTTAAAATGTATATGGTTTTAGAAAGATGCCTTGCCTGAACAAATCATTGGAATTTTTAAACTATTTAAAACTTAACTCATTCAACATTGTCGTTAATAAATTGATATCTAATTAACAAAAATACAATAATTTTTCTGTTTCAAAGCAAATTTAGAAGACTACAAGGAATGTTCTTAAAGGTAAAAAAGAGTTTGCTTATTGCATTTTCATGGGATATAAAATAATTTGGGGCATATATATTGGCTCGGTCATATGGTGAATCCTAATTTTATTAATAACAAAAGCAATATTATATGTTAAGAACAATATCGTAAGACATCTATTTCCTACAGGTTTTAGAGAATTAAAATACTCTGTTTGATACAGTTAAAACCTAACAGTTAATGTCTGGAAAATTAAAATACTTACCTAGATGTTGAAAAACTAAGGAATTTACTGCTGAAACAAATGTCCTCCCATCCGTGCCGTCCTCAGATACAGAGCAGTTCTTTTCTTGTTCACTCCAAAAACAACAGTGGAACTTTGTTTGGGATAAGTTAGAAATGTAGGCAACACTTGAATTAAATTTAGCTTCAACAACTGCCTCATAATGTCCATCCAAACGTGAAGCATTCTTTGAGGTTCCGGCAGGCAAAAGGAAGTCATCACCAGTTGCATTTGCTGGCATACAAGACAATTTAAATCTCCAGGGAGTAATTGGATATGCCGAGTTAAATGCAGTTATCACACAAAGAAATTCTGTAGGACATTAACAAGATACACAGAATGTAAGTCATCATTCTGACTAAAATATAAGCTGAAAGTATCTGAAACCATGTAGCACCCAGTAATAATTATTCAACTTTCAAAGTGCTCAGTCATATTTAATGACCAGCTCTGAGCTTCCATATTACAATGTGTTAAACTCGAGATTGTTCACTTATTTATTCAAATAACTCCCACACTCTGTCAGCTCTTTTTTGAAAGTTCACACATCATTTTTCCTTGTTAATCTAACATATTTATAATTCAATGAATGGACATTAACACTCAATTTATTATTTTTCTTTTCTATAATAAAATCATTCTAACATCTGGCAGGAATAAGAAATATATGGTTGTGAAATTATATGAACAAAAATGAAAGCACTCTTTTAGCATTTATTGAAGAGTAAAATCGAAACATTAACGCTGCTTTTACTGAGTGCTTTTGAAAACAGTTTGCCCTGACATGAGGACAGCTGGACAAACTATGACCAGGATCCTCAGATATAAGATATCATATAAGACATGCATGCCCTAATTAGTACTCTCCAAGAAGTGATACACAGCAACAGATTTCTTCCAGAAAATTTCAACTGCTAATTTAATTATCACTTTCTAAATATAAAGATTAAGAACATTTATATAACCTTGTACCAAGAAATATTCAAAAATTAATCTTTAAATAAGTAATTGTTTGAAAATAAAATAATTATTAAATCTACAATTCTGGGGAAGGGTTTTGTTCATTTGTTTTAAAAATTATCCAAATATTCCAATAAGTTTGTTGCCATATATACATATACACTAATGCAGAATGAAAAATTCTGAGAATTTTGTATGGCTTTCAGTGGAATTTGAAGAATTATGGTAAATGCAAAAATATAAGAAAATAGAAGCAACAAAGGTGTTCTGCAGTAGGTGAATGGATAAATAAATTGCAGTACATTCAGACAAAGAAATATTAATCAGTTCTAAAAAGAAATGAGCTATCAAGCAATGAAAAGACATGGAGGAAAATTAAATGCATAATACTAAGAAAAAGAAGCTCATCTGAAAAAGGAGACATGTCATTTGATTCTTAACTATGTGCCATTCTGGAAAAGGCAGAACTATGAAGATATTAAAAAGATCAGTGGTTTCCAGGAGTTGGGAGAAAGAGGGATGAATAAATAACACAGAGGACGAACAGGGGTCAAACTACTCTGCATGACCCTGTAACAGTGGGCAAATGTCATTAGACTTGGCAAAAGTCACGGAACGTACAAGAATGAACCCTAATGCAAACTGCAGACTTTGGGTGGTGATGAAGCACCAAAGTTTATCAGTTAGCAAATGTTACCATTCAGGGGAGGGATGTTGATAATGGGGATGGTTACAAATGTGTGGAGGCAGCAAGCAGACAGAAAATCTCTCTGTCTTCCTCACAATTTTGCTATGAGCCTAAAACTGATTTTAAAAATAAAATCTATTAAAAATGTAAGACCAAAGAAATCTTTAAATTTAGTTCATAAATTTTTTTAAATACAAAAGCAAAATGTGTAAAATACTCAATTATAATATATAGGTATTGACTTACTAGTTTGATTTCTAAACCTTTCTCTAAATATAAAATAATATAAATATGTATTGATGCAAAAATTAAGTCAAAAATGATTAACTTGAGTAATGTTACCATCCCCACACTGATGACAATTAGGTATCATTAACATCACCAAAAGAAAATGTTCAGTATAACTGGATTTCTCTGAACTTCAACTTTTCTAACAACCTTCTGTTTCTGAAAACAGAAGATCTCTATGAAATCAGAACATTTTTATTTAAAAAAAAAATAATATTTCTTTTGTGGGGTTTCTTTATGTTTTTTTAAAAAAACATGAATATGTTATACTACTAATTAAAGCATTTTGTTTTATAATTGCACATGGAAAATTCAGTGAACTGAACTGAAATTAATCTCAAAGACTCAAATATTGAAATAAACAAACAAATTAAATTCATAAACATAGCAGCAATTGAATTGCTTTAATTAAAAGATGAGACTATTTTGTTTACAATCTTTCTTTGCAAATATTTCTTTCCCTCAGAATGAATCCTGAAAAGCAAGATATCCAGCATTTTTCTCCAAAATGCTGTCCAGTAATAATAACCTAGGATATCTTCTGATGCGTGAGGCTAAAACAAATCTTTCAAAAGCCAGCATAAAACATGAGTCTAATAAAAATTAGAAAAATATAAAGAATAATTAATAGTTCTTTTAAATATATAATAAAATAAGATGAAGAATATAAATGATAATTATTTCTCTTTGACAGTCCCAGTAACATAGGTTTTTGGAAATCTGTAATAGTGGAGCTATTCTGAGTATTTTCTGAAAGGATACAGATGGCTGCAATGAGAAACAACAGGATGTACAAGGTGGACTTGTAAGGAAGCTTACAAGAGCACCTTTACATTGGAGCAGCAAAAGTTATGCTCAGAACTCGTTGACACAAAGGTAACACTTGCCAGATAAAATAAGTTCAGTTAAAGATAGCCTGACTTTAATTTCAAAACTTTGCAACCTAAACAAAATTAGATTATTCAGATTTTTAAAAATCAGAATATGATGAGAAGCAAGTAAATACCATTTGTTGAAAAGTTACCAGTAATTGGAGAAGGTGGAGCAAGAAGACAGATGAGAACTCTCCACTGATCATCCCCTAAAGAAACATCAATTAAAACAACTATCCATGCATGAAAATACCCAGACACCCATGGCTCCTAAACACTACTGGTACCTAAAAAGTGAGTCTCCTGACCTGCCCCACCCAAATGCAAGATTGGACCCCACAGCCCTTGCAATGATCTCTGATTTTGGAGTCAGAAGGTTGATCGATCTGATCTCTGAATCAGAAGTTTGCTGACCTATATTACAGAAGACTTAGGTTTGAGACAAACCTCAGAAGCAAGGAAGCCTCAATGGACAAGACTTCAGGTGTACAAAGTACTGTGATAGCCATGGCAACCAGAGGGCTTTGGGTGTATCCCAGTGATGTGCCAACCTGGGTAGTCAAGAAATTCTCAATTGGCACTGTGTGCTGCACAAGTCATGGGCTTAAGACATCCTATAGTGCTTCCACAGCTGCAGCAATCATAGGCTTAGGGACCATACCAGATGACCTACCAGATGACCAGAATTTCAGCACAGGTTTCCTGCTAAACAATGTTCCTGAACAAATCCAATCTGAAAAGAGTTGAATAAGTATATACTTCAAATACCAATACATAAATAACCACAAGGATAAAGAAATCAGCAGGGAAACATGCTAGCACCAAATAGAAAAAATAAAGTAACAGTGATCCATCATAAGTAGATGAAGATGCACGTACTGCTTGACAAAAAATCAAGATAACTTTTTGAAAGACACTCAACAAATTTCAAAAACTACAGAGAAACAATTCAAAGAAATGAGGAAAATAAGGGACCAGAATATGAAAAACAGAGACATTAAAATAATAATAATTTTAAAAGCCAAACAGAAATACTGGGAATGAAAAACAGAATGGATAAAATAAAAAAGGGCATGGAGAGCACCAATAACAGAATTAACAAAGTAGAACAATCTATGAACTAGGGGTTATTTGAAGATATACAATTAGAGGAGAAAAAAGAAAAGGGAATGAAAAGGAATAAAGGAAGCTTGTGGAATTTATGGGACAGCATCAAAAGAACAAAATTTCAAGTTACTGGAGTTCAAGAGCAAGTAGAAAACAAAATATATCAAACAATTATTAATAGGTCTGAAAGGAGAGGTAGACTACCATACACTAATATTAGGGAACTTCAACACCCCATTTTTAGCAATGGACAGATCATCCAGACAGAAAATCAAGGACTTAAACTACGCTTTAGACCAAATGAACCTTATAGATATATGTACAGAATATTCCATCCACAGTTGCAGAATGTACAATCTTCTCAACTGCACAGGCAGCATTCTCCAGGATAGATCACATGTTAAGCAACAAAATAAGTCTTCCCAAATTCAAGAAGACTGAAATCAATTATCTTTTCTGGCCACAGTGGTATAAAACTAGAAATGAATAACAAGAATAACCTCAGATGTAGTGGCACACGCCTGTAATCCCAATGGCTCGGGAGGCTGAAGCAGGAGGATCTTAAATTCAAAGCAACTCAGGGAGGCCCTAAGCAACTTAGCAAGACCCTGACTCAAAATAAAAAAGAGCTGAGGATATGGCTCAATGGTTACATGCCCCTGGGCTCAATCCCTCATATGAAATAAAAAATTAAAAAGAGGAACTTCAGAAAATTTACAAATACATGGAAATTTAAAAACCAATAGGACAGGGGCTGGGGATGTGGCTCAAGCAGTAGCGCACTCGCCTGGCATGCGCAGGGCACTGGGTTCAATCCTCAGCACCATATAAAAATAAAATAAAGATGTTGTGTCCATCGAAAACTAAAAAAAAAACTAATGGGTCAATGAACAACCAATGGGTCAATGAAGAAATTTAAAAGGGAATTTTAAAAATTCTTGAAAGAAAGAAATGAAAATGAAAACACAACATATCAAAACTTATTGAATATAGCAAAAGAAGTTCTAATACATGTTTTTGGTAATAAATGCCTACTTCAAAAAAAGTTATAAAATAAATAACAAAAAAATTGATCACAGAAATACAAAAGATTGAAAGAAATTTAAATCATCATACTCAAACAAATTGGGTATCATAGAAGGAATTAATAAATTCTGGAATTCATACAACCTTCTAAGATTGAATTATAAAGAGACAAGAAATCTGAATATACTAATAACAAGAAAGAAGATTGAATCAGTAATAAAAATTCTCTCATGAATGAAAATCTCAGGGCTTGATCACTTCACTGTTGAATTCTAATAACCATTTAAAGCAGAACTAAAGTCAATTCTCAAACTCTTCCAAAAAGTTGAAGATGATGTAACACTTTCAAACTCATTCTACATAATTGACTC